TATATACGCACGAATCACAACGCGAAGAAGAATCGCTGGCGAAGGAGAATCAGGACAAAGACGATCGATCAACGAGCAAACGCAAAAGCAATGTCGGAAAACGATTATCCCTTAAGCTGTAATTTTAATTCGGTATCAGTTACCAGTAATCGTTAACACGTTCTTCCGATAGAATTCCCCTGTAATTGATATTCGAGAGAAATTATTGGCGATTTTTCTGTATATATTTCTAGAGCGGTATATGCATCGGTATCGATAACGCGATTTGCATAACCAATACACGTTCCCTGAATTCGTCTACTTTCTTTTCCGGGTTTCCCGCGCACCCCGCCGCGCGCAGGAAGCTCGTTTGTTTTTTTCCCTTTTTCCAAATGTTCTCCGCGCGCTACTCAAGCTTGCCTATTTTTTTTTCTCCTTTTTATTCTGTGTTCATCTTGTTCCTATCAGTCCTGTCTACTCGCTTCTGTCTCGATGCAATTATTATTTATTTGCCGCTTGTGTTACTAGTAGCTGTTAAGCTGTTACCTTTAACCGTGGTTACGATCGTGAAATCGATGAACTTCCCTTGGGCAGGTTTCTCCCTTCGAAAAACCACCCTCGCCACTTCGATGCGAACCTCTTTCTACGTACGTACGGTTTCTCTTTGCACAACTTTGTAGGTCGGAGCTTCGTTAATCGTGCCATTTTATCGCGGTTACTTAATGTAATGTTACGAGTTTAGAATAAAATGTGAAATTGTACAAAAAGAATTTCTTCATCTCGCAACCAGGATTTTTTTATTGGTATCTGCTGACAGGTTTGTGGATTATGTGTAATTTAGGAGGTTTTTCTTCGTTTTTATTAGGTTATCCGTGCGTTGTTATAAACAAAACGGAAACCGCGTTTTGTTGTTGTACCGCCTCCGGCTAAACTTTCGTTTGTTCCATATAGCCGAGGCGTGGTGACTTTCCATTTAATGATGAAGACGTTCACTTAGTCCAGATCGACTCTGCAGAGAAATTGTTAATAAGGACAGGTGATAAGGCGGGTCTGATAAAACGGTAAGTTAAATAATACCGTGATAGCTGGGCAGGTTTGTCGGTCTGCTGGCAGTTGCGTAAGGGAACCATTCGTTTCTGCAGCATATTTCAGATGATTTCATTTTAAAAAAAGAAACCTGGGCAATGTAGATTAATTAGTCGTTTCAATGTAGCTATTTCTAATATCAATGTTTCCTTCTTAACAGCTTGAACGTATAGAAATTATTTGAATCGATTCACATTTGCTAGAAAGTTACATAGAAGTTCGATCATAGTGAAAATTAGATAAATATTAGCATCATTCGACCCATTTACCGATCCTCGTGGATGATGAAATGCACTAAAAGGTTTCGTGTCGCGATACACGTAACCTGAAAGTCGTTTCAAGTATAGGTTCTGCCACTACTCTAGTTTTTCAAGGTGCGTTCACCCAAATCGCGATTAATCCGCTTTACGTGTGCTAAGTTTAATTTACCATGGCTACGGTAGCAATTACCATAGCGGTAGTTCGCACTTCACGGTTTTCCCCGTGATGCATGGTAACACGTAAATGATAACAGCAACTTATAGAAAGTTCCGTTCGGAAAACCGCAGACGTTACAGATAACGAATACAGTTTCTCCCGTATTAACTACGAGCAATAATGACTGCGATCATGCTTAACCGCATTATTTTCACCATCGATGGTTACTTTGTTTAACTCGAACGATTCGTGGGGACGTAAATTCTGCTTTTACGAGGGAAATTACTTGTGCCGATGGTTATGCGTGCATAATATTTCCAATAAAACTTAATGCACCGTAACGATTCCATCTCCGTACAGATTTACGAAAATATCGAACTGACGAGTCTATTCCTGAAACGTCTTCTTTAACCACTTGCGCTTTTTGTCCGAAAATTACCAACGACATATTGTACACGTCGGTGGTCGTATTGAATTACATATTCCAGATTGTTCTGAAATCTACCACTTCGTACAAAATTATTGGTAAACGACATTTGTGTACATATCTGTATATATGAAGACGAAATTCTTCGCGTGAGATCCTGTCGAGTTTCTCGATTCGTTGCCAGCGCAAGTGGGTAATAGTTATTACGAAAAAGTATCGTTTTCAGCCGTTGCACACAGAGACTGCTTCTGATCTCGAGACGTTTCATTGGAGAGGGAAACGGAGGAAGGAAGAGGAACCAAAATGGAGGTCAGTGGAAGTAAACTCTGTCTCCGGTGACCCACTGATACATTTTCATCGGGTCTGTGTGTGGGAAAACGTACACAGAGAACCAGTCCGAGTAACGTGAAACACGTTTACTTTTTACTTGAAATTCATGTGTTCGTAATATGTATGTATAATATTTAATAAACCGCAGGATTTTATACGTAACAAAGTTTCCTTGGATAAACTAAGGAATACCATGATTAACCAGGAATTTGGCAATTAATTGTCGATTGCGAGTCTAATGATTCATTTAGATTTTTATATTTGATACTTTACGTAATTCAGTCGTTTAATTCACAGTTTATTGGATTTTAATGTTATGAATTGGTGGATTGATGTGTTAATAGTTGAAAGATGCAATTGTTTAGACGACGGAAGGAAAAATGTTGCAGGAAGGAAGACGGAAGAGACGAAGGCACTTTTGATCTATAGAATTTCCTCTAATGGCCGGTTCTTACGCGAACTACTGACCGCAAGATACCCGCAATTATGACTTTTATACTTTCATGTGTCGTTTCGGGTCCTTTCCAGTGTAATTCATGGATTGCGTAAAACTTGTACATTCCCCCAGGGAAAGAGCAGTTGTTTGACGAGATAGAGCGAGGCATAATCTTGTCCGTAAGGAAACGAAGTATTTCCAGTGGATAGTATTATATCAAACAACCGCTGATCCCGTAATTGCTTCACTATTTCAAAATTAAATATCTAACGACGCTTCTGTAATATTCTGTTGTAACTTAAACATTTTCGAAACGTGATAAATTATTTTACAAAAACTATCATATCAAAGGACACGAATCAGAAATGAAATTTGTGACTGATAACAGTCAGAATCTCCAACAGTTCTTTTTAAGGGAATTTATGTCACGCGTTATGGAAATGATTTCTGAACGAGTACTCCTTTCGAAAGCGTGCTCCTTTAAAAATCGAAAGTACTATAGAAAAGGTGTACCATATAACTAGCGGACTCGATATAGGCCCCGGGGAAGGCTTGATGCAATGGAAACAACGAAAGTCAAAGTAAAAGTTATTTTTCGGGATTTTTAGACAATAGTTCCAAATATTCCATTCTAATCGATCGTACACCCACATCGCTTCCATTTAAATCCACCACTGAAATAAATCACAGTACAACTTGTTTCAATCACTTCATACAAGTATAATAAAATATTCAGCAACGGTAGAAAAATGAAATACACAATAAAATAATCAAATATTCAACAATGGTAAAAATGGTACAATTTGACTTTTACTCTGAATAAGAAACCGGACACGTGTGCACGAATATATATATAATAATCCGTTATATACAGAGATTCATGAATTAATGGAACAGATGCCAATTAATTTTCGCAAAATCCTCGCCGATAATTGAATTACCCGTCCCGCTGGCGAGTACAGTTAATTACCCCCCGACGTCCTGGTTACCGCGGCGTTCAGTCCTGACAGCGGCATTGTAGTTACGCTGCAGGAGAAAATTCATTTCCATTCGCGGTGCGTTTAGAGGATGCATTTTCTAAATAATCATAAGGTGCCCGGCGAGGTCCGATATTACGCGTAGCACGCGCAATGTTATTAGCCGGCGAGCGTATTAAAATGTCACTGGCAGGCGTGACGACAAACGGCTTCGTTGACGGAATAAAAAATTTCTACGCTCATTATACACGCGGTAAAAAGACATTCGCGCTCTTAGAGAAATTACTTCCGGGATTGTTGGCATTGTCTATTAATAATTCCGTGATCCGCGTGACGCAATCGTAATTCATGATCGATCGTCGAGAGTAGAATCACAGATGTCCACGAGTATTAACCCTTTGCACTCGAAGGGCGCCTTACAGTCGCCACCCGATTCAACAAACTTACAAATTTTTATTCAATATTAACCCTCTATGGGCCGAATTTTTGTTCGTGATTAGAGCAAAATTTATGCAGTACAAAATTAATAAATATCCACATATGAATACGAATTAACAATGTATTGAATAGTTTGAATAATTTCATCAAACGAGTATATTTTGTAACTTTCAAGTTACAGCGACGTTAAACTTTCACGCCTGAGCGTATAAAAGTTTAAGTTAACTGATTATTTAATTTTACTCAGCACTTTGAGTGCACAATGAAATAAATCAACAAGATTCCAATATACTAACATGTGACTTCAAAGTTACATGGGCCTACAGAGGGTTAAACCTTGTGTAATGTATCAACACATAAAACATCGAAGTAAAATAGTTCTGTCTCTTAATCTATATAAGATAATCAGTTGTGTTAGTCGCGAAAAATATTGTTAATACTTAGTCAGAAAGCAATGAATATTTTCCATGGAAAATATTGTCGAGTGCAAAGGGTTAACCCTTCGCTGACGCAGATGAAGCTAAATTATATATCGACTGCTTAGATAATTGAACAAAGGAAACTACGTACTGGCGTCTTGTTATTCGAGCAATTAAATCATTCGTTTACAAATTAGCGTTCCAAATATGAAAATCTAATTCGAAATGTTGACATTTATCCGCAAAGGGTTAATTGTCGTAACAGATTTATTAAACGAAAGTTACCTTCCGGCATGGCACATCAGAATTCCGACGATACTTTTCACGGAACCGTCGGAAACACGAGAAATTCTACGAGTACTTTGAATAGAGCCAGTTTTCTTATGCTCAATCATAATTGGTCTACGGGGCCCGTTTATGGGCCGTAAACGTTCCCAGAAACTTATAAAATACAAAGTTTAATAGGATTCAATGTACTTCCATTGAACTTTTCATTCGCCGAAACTAATGGCCGATTAAAGGAAACGTTAATTGGTTCTCGTTCCTTCGGATTCCTCGGTGAGAATATAAATAACCGTTTAAACATCTTTTTCCCGAGACTTCATTCCTCGGAACGAATGTAACAAACTCCGAGCGTTTACGGCTTCGGGAAAAGCCCATAAAAATTATCCTGTGCTGGTTCTACTCGTTACTCCCACTGATTAACACTAGAACTACCGAGCATTTAATACGATTAATATGCAATTCCTATAAAAATTGTAACAATTGATTATTTTCAGTTTCTTCAGACATTCATTATAGTATTCAAGTGGAACTATTTATTTTCAAAATCATTTCGAATATTCAATGCTTTGAAAATATCAATAATTGCTGAACAAAAAAATCGAAACCAATCATTTTGACTGGTACGGTAGTTCTAGTGTTAATCAAATTCGATTCGAGCAGTCTAATCAATTAGGTTCCGCTTCTTCGTTGAAACTATGTCGTTTATTCACACTCCGATCGACTTACGTCTACTTCAATTCGCACGTTGCAATATATATTTAAAAATCTGCCCAGGAAACATGATTCTAAGCAATTCCAGTGTAAATTTCCAGAAACATGAATCAGACCGAACAATACACTTTACGATCCTTCATTCTACAAGCTGCCACGTAGATTCATTAAAAGATTTCTAACGAAAGCGGCTGTCTTCGCAAGAATTCGAAAAGAATAGACCAGGAACACGATTTTCTCAACGAGACGAGTAAGATCGAACGAAAAAGAGGGCTCGGTTTACGAGGCGATATGCAACAAGACGAATCGCATCGGAAAGTTTCATCTTGAAGTGACGGGTTTCGTGTCACCCGAGCACCGTTTAATTATTTGAAATTTCTCTTAGACGGTGTTGGTTTTCATTAGCGGCAGTCCGGTATCAGGGGACTACAGATTTCTATCCCCGCCCCCGTTCGACGCCGTATCAGAGGCCGCGATAGAACAACCAGTAATCCGGCTGTCCGCTATCTGCTTCGGCTGTCCTTAACAAACGTCGACGGGAGTGGGAGCAGCGCGAAGCGAGGCAGCACTTGACACGAGGAAAGGAAAGGAACGAAACGAAACGAAACCGAGGGAGGTGGCGTCAAGACCAAAGCGGTCTTCGCTCGCCCAAGGTAATATAAAGCCGCGCGTCGACTTCACCTGGTTCAACTTACCTGGAACATCGAACAGCCGCGGTGTCCAGCACGGCCAGGAAGTCCGCCAGTGCCACACCACTTTCTACCATCATGTGAGTCCCTTTAAATCATTTGTTCAGTTCTCGATTGTAATCTCGTTTATTGTATCATATGGGATTGTACACTTTCGAATGAGTATCATTCGTCTTTTAACTCTTTGCACTCGAGAATATTTTTATAAATATTCATTATTTTGATGAAATATCAATATTTTTTGCAACTAACGCAAATACCTTGCATAAATTGACAGAACTATTTCATTTTGATGGTGCACGATGTATTATATAAAATTTAATATTGAATCTTGAGTTTTATCGTTTTGCTCGGTCAAATCAAGTGAGTGAAAGGCGCCTCTCGAGTGCAAAGGGTTAATTGGAAGTTTCTTTTATGCAGTTCGCAAGATGATCTACTTTGAACTGATCTATGTTATCCACTGTTGAATTATGATATCATTTTATGTATTCTATGGGATTGTACACTTTCAAATGAGTATCATTCGTGTTTTAACCCCTTGCACTCGAGCATATTTTTCTTGACAAATATTCATTACTCTGAAGAAATATCAATGATTTTTGCAACTAACGCGAAGAAATATCTTGCATAAATTGACAGAACTATTTCATTTTGATGGTGCACGTGTCGATACATTATATAAAATTTAATATTGAATATTGAATTTTATTATTTTGCTCGGTCAAATCACGTGAGTGAAAGGCACCTCTCAAGTGCAAAGGGTTAATTGGAATTTTCTTTTATGCAGTTCGCGAGATGGTCTACTTTGAACTGGTCTATGTTATCCACTGTTGAATTATGATATCGTTTTATGTATTCTATGGGATTGTACATTTTCGAATGAATTGTGTCATTGATGTTTTAATTGGAATTTTCTTTTATGTAGTTCAAGAGATGATCTACTTTGAACTGATCTATGTTATCCACTGTTGAATTATGATATCGTTTTATGTATTTTGTAGGTGTATTTGTTTGTATTATTATAGATTAGCTTGAACGAACCGTTGAAATAATGGTATTGAAAGTTTGGAGTACCGTTATTCTAGGTTGAACTGTTTGAGATGGTTTTCCTGAGGGAAATGCAACGTTTTTTGTTTCGGATGATAATTAATTGTATTTTGTAGTATGTTTGATATTGTGTGATAATCTTCCATTGTTTTTCGTTGCATTTAACATTGGAGAGTAGTCTGCGAAGTTGGTTTAGAATGCGATGCAAATGGGTCGTAATTCGCTTGTCGCTAATTAACACTAAAACTACCAGAGGGGTCAAACGACCCATGCCTGATGTCTTCTATTTGCAATTATTAGAAAGGTAACAAATGTTTCTCTAAGAAATTATTAAAGAAATTCATTTAGCACTACGCAGATTGAATTGTAAATCAATTAAAGTCTGAGCAGATGCAGTCTTGGAGTTTCTATAACGAAATTTTCAAAAGTCAATTGAAGTGCTCGGTAGTTTTAGCGGTAAGTGATGTTTTAGCGAATATTTGTTCGGAGTTATAGGTCAATGCGATACATTGCGATCGTAAAATTTAATATTCATTGGAAATGAGTATCGCTTCATTGCTAGTAGAATAATGTTTCTAGCGAAACATTTATTTACTTGTAGATCTCTTTGTTTCGTACTTTATGTTTAATTATATTCTGTTAGCATAATTTATTTCAATTGCTCGATATTCACAGTATCGTACCTCTTCTCAAGTTTTATTCCAATCATTCTAACTAATGAACTGCTTTACTTTCGATTTATATATGAATTAATTACTATACAATTTACTTTCAATTTTATTTCAATTAATTCCGAGAGAAATGTAGAGCAGCTTTAATTATCTCTATACTTTCTTACTTCACGTCCTCTGTTTCTTCATTTTTTTCAATAATCACAACTGTGAACAGTGCCTCGGTTCAATAGAATACTATCACCCTTCTAATTTAACTTTATTATTGTGAACTCAAATATCGCTCATTTATATATCACTCGATACTCTTAATTAAAATACTTTCCTCTGTCCTCATACAGCCCTGGTACACAAGACCCGCGCAATAATAATTGCAAATCGCGGAATAATAATTGCAAATGCTCCGACGTGCACGTCGCGGTTCACGCTTATCAATTCAAGTTTCTCAAACTCGCTTAAATAATACCTCCATCAACAGAATTTCGATGAAGCGTCCGATGATGGCATCAATGGTAACCAGATTTCAAACTTTGTGCACCTATAACATTCGCAAATACAAACTGCATTTAACACAACATTGAATAAAATCTTTATTTCATTTTCAACTTTCCTATAATTTCTCACAGAAGAAAATCCTGTATTATAAGAAACAAAATAATCCTTATCTCCAACAAAATAACGCGAAGATTCTTCATTAGCATAAAAATTCGCTGTCTTATAATAACAGTCTCATGAATATTCATTAAAAAAGCAAACGAACAACTGGTGCAGGATGAAATAACATTTTTCCACGAGCAACGTTCGTCGGTTACGTGTCTCGTTTCGTCGAATAAAGACAACGGGAACATCATCGCACGAACAATTCGGATGATGCAGTATAAATACCTACTTCTCAGACCGTCGACGCATTACGACGTCTGATCTCGTTAAATGATATTCAACGATAAGTGGATCACACTGAATATCGCGTTAGGATGCAGACGTTGCATAAGGTGAACACCATTATGCTCGTACGCCGTCTCGCAGTTATTATGTAAATCATCGAGCCAAGTTTCGCTTATCAGCATCGATAGATTCGATCGTAGTATGCACCGAGTGCGTTTACGTGTCACGAGCACGCGTCCGTGTAGGCAGTACATTCAATTTCAACTGGTTTTTCGAGAAACACGACTTACCAGAAAAAAAGAGCGTTAAACATATCGATGAGTAATGCTGAATAATACTGGCCGTTGTTAATTCAGAAAGTCGCTGATATATGCCTCGCACGCGAAGGAAAATATCTTCTGATTTGCATAGGGGAGATATTGAAATGATAATTATTTGTAAAAAGTTATTCAATGAATAAGGAATTCTTAAAAACGCACGGCGTAAGAGGGACCAATTAAAATTGACTTGATTGCAGTTTTATGAGGCGTTGAAATTCATTTCTAGAGAATACTATATATTTATGAGCGTTATTAGTTTCATGGTTAGTAGTTTATAAATTCATTATGAACGATATATCGACACGAATCCATTACGAACTAATTACCCGGTTACTTAAACGTCTAAATGATGTATTAGGTCGTTACATATATTTCGAATGACTCGTTCGTATTTTTAATTGTACAACTGGTCATGATATTTCTTTAGAAGCCACGGGTTAACTGATTTTTCCTCAAATCGGCCAAGATCGTTTCCCAGAACGACGATAAAAATGGCGGACGTAACTGCCGTTTCTTCCGGGTTGATTTCATCATTCAACAATAGCCTTCTGTTTTTTCGCACAGGCTAAATCTGTCAGAGAACATAAAGCTTGAAACCTTTGTCTCAGAAGACAAAAGGTTTCGATGATTCTCATTCGTTCGACTATAAGTGTCTCTAAACTTCAAATTGCTACTTTTGAACGAACGTTGTAATTTAAGCTAGCTTAGCCGATTACACTAATAATTATAATAATTAGCTTAATCATAAGGTGGAGAATAATTGGAGTTTTAGTAATAATTATAATTACCGAGTAGGATACGATCGTTTATTCTTCGAACGTAAAACGATACCGTCGAGGTGTATTTCATAATTACGAATTATCACGATTATTACCGTTATTCTTACCGTGGGCGACAGAAACGTGTCACACGTGAGATCCTCGCCTTGAAGCCCGTGAAAGTGAAAGGACTTCTGATTTTATCTTGCACAACGAAATGCGATTCAGGGGTTAAAAGTACATTACACCGGTTATTCTTACCGTCCCGGTTGTTTCTGAACTTTAGACCAACCTATTAACACGCTTATTAATCATCGGCAGGCGTCCATCGATCATCATCGATCTCGTTGCTCGGTTTACTTTCTAAAAGTAAATACCTTATGGAACGATAAAAAGCGCATTGAACGAAAACTTTACTTGTAACTTTAAACATTTTCAATTCCAATATATTCCCACGTACACATTAACCAGTTAACTGTGTTTGACGAGTATACACGTCATCTTAAAACTCTTAATGGTGCTAACTTTTTCAATGACTATTTATTTTTTGAGGCAAACATATAATTCTTATTCGTTTCGCTTTAGTTTTTCGTTAGGATATATTTTAAGTGCATTCGGCCTGCATTTAATGAGTATACACTTCATTATTTGATTTTATTGCACAATGAGTGATTTTTCAAACTAAATTCTACAGTTAACTGGTTAAACAGAGAAATAGCAGATACGTTTTTAATTTTCAAATGAAGCTAATCAAAATTGTGTTCTTAAGAATACTTTCATAACGATCTCGTATCATTTTATGCGATCACAGATACACACTTACAATTTCTAGATGCGATTAGGATGAGGAACTCTGATTAACAGACTCGTATCGCGGAATTAGATTAAATCTCCCACTAAAGGAACCGTCGACTTTCCTCGCGAGGAAAGTTTACGCCCGTTCCAAAGGAATCAAGAGGAATGCGACAGTTTCCGATGATCTTGTTGGAAGCCAGACGAAAACTCGATAAAATAGAAAAAAAGGGCAACGAAACGATAAGGCACTTTCTCCAGGCCTAAAGTAGAAAGTTCAGCTCGATTGGCGCGGTTGATCGCGCTTGACAGAATAAATACTCGTTCGTTCTTTTCTTCTCGTTGCTTTCGTTGCGCCCGGTATGCGATTAACAGAGCGGGACTAGCGGCAATAAAATTTTTACTCCTTCCTATGGACCAGAGTAATACACCGGGTAAATACCAGTCGGCCCGCTGAATAATGGATGCCGACGGAAACGCGTGCCGGTGCACGCCCTTTTCTTTTAATGTCTCGCGTGAACTTTCACTCCACACGATTTTATGTAGATTTTATGCGTTATTATTATACTTGACCCTATACTTGAACTCATTCGCAACTGTTATTTCAATCTTTGTTCTACAAAATGTAAGAACCGTTGGAAACAATCGTGCCACCGATGTTTACATAAACGATCTATAAAGTTAACTTGTAGATACATAGTGGCTTTAATTTCGATATCGTTTCAATGAATTTTCTGCAATATTCGTAGCAACGTAATACTTAGAATAGACAAACATATCGATACTTCTAGATTGATAAATAAATAGTTTATCAACGATCACTTCGTAGAGAAGTTTGATAGAGTTGTTTTATTTCAAATTTCTGGATTTCTTTCTTTAGCCCTTTGGACTCCAAAAGATTTCTATTAAAAATACCCAACACACCTTCTGACGAAATATAGTCAACATTTCATGAGACTAATTTAACGAGAAATCGTACAAAAATTAAAGAAAGCGGCTGTTTCATTTTAATATTTCACCTATGGAGTGCAAAGAGTTAGTATCTATTAGATTTGTAAAAACGTGACATTGGATAAGCATCGATGAAATCTTTCACTTTCCTCGAGATTTCACGTAGTTTGTAGAATGTTAAGGGTCTGGTGGTGAAGCAGGAACAAGTGTATTCGAAAATGAAAGCATTTCGGCTGGAAGAAAGACCGAGTGACGAGGGAAAGAGAAAAAGAAGCGGGAGGAGAACCAGGCGAGAGAGAAGTAGCCTCGAGCAGTGAAAGTCGCAAACCGGGCTGAACTTTGCCGGGAATGGTCAGAGCGGTGATTTAACGCGATTCGAACGGAAAAATCAGCGAGATGAAATTATAAAAATACTCGGCCGCCTACCTGACCTCTTACATAAGAACGGGACACCGATTTATTTTTCTGCTTTAACTGTGCCAACGCGGTGACTCAATTGCTCGCTTTTAACGCAGCGCCTGGAAACCATGAACGCGTTCTCTCATTGTTGCAACCAGTTAATAACAATCTGAATGGAAGACAAACAAATATTATTAGAAGACAATATTACGAATAATTCAATCGTTTGACTCTATACTTCGCAAATTACAAATGAACTGTGATTATATAACATTTTCGTGGAATATTCGTTCTAACTATGCTCTCAACCCATTAAAATTTGTTTTTCAAATGAATAATTGACGTAGTATGCGTCACGCGAGTTACGTAGTAAACGGTAAAACGATAACGCTTCAATTACTGGTTTTTACGAGTAATGGAATAAATGAATATATTACTTTTGGTAAAAGAAACGTGCGGTTTTTACGAGTATAATTCTAGTTAATGAATTACGCTACTATTAACGCAGAATTGTTATGAAGTGTAGAATTCGAATAGGTTTTCATGAGAACAAATTGTCTTTTCAGGGTGGTGTGGTCGGTGCTGTTATTAATGGCAGCCATTTTGGCGGAGGCAGCGGTACCAGACCCTCCAAGGCCCGGTATCACCACCGTCGGGTCTTTGAAATTAGCGACAGCTGCTGACTGTGCCGGCGTTGTCGCTTTCTCTGCTACTCAAGCTTCCGTCGACGTGAGTTTTCCTTCCAAACGCAACTCATCATTCTCAAACATCGCGGAAATGCGTTCGATGTTCCGGAATTCGTAAATTCCTACGTACTACAGCAAAGTCGAACACTTTGAACAGTAACGCTAAATACTTTTCTTTCACAAATTTCTAAACGTTTTATATTAACATTTGAAAACATGAAAGTGAAGTTAGACTTTATGTTCCATTCATGATCGTTAACGCGTTGACTGCCACGAGAACTTCGAACGTTTCGTGTAATGATACATATTCTTTCGTAACAAAGGCAAATGGTAGGAATAATTATTAATGACTCATTATCACAGTGTTACACTATCATCTAGCTGTCTGTGTTACAAAGTATTTCTATTCAATATCAGTTTTCTTATTGTAATTGTATTTAACACTAGAACTACCAGTCAAAATGACTGGTTCCGATTCTTTTGTTTATTAATTATTGATATCTTCGAAGCATTGAATATTCAAAATGATTTTGAAAATAAATAGTTTCATTTGAGTACTACAATGAATGTCTGAATAAACTGAATCTATTGTTACAATTTTTATGGGAATTGCATATTAATCGTATTAAATGCTCGGTAGTTCTAGTGTTAAGCAATTTTGAAGCAGTCAACGTGTTAACGAAGGAATTTTTATATTTGAATCGTTTCAATTCCATTTGTCACTTATTCTAACAGTGCTAACGATGGAAACAGTAATCACGATAGAATGTTAACGATGAAATAAACAAAGGAATAATTCTGTTGGATAGCTCGCCAGAGTAGTCCTTGCCGAGACGCTGGTCGACAAAGGCGTAGGCTACGTCGCGCAGACCGGGATCTTCACGACCCACTGTCCCGGGCTGTATCAGTTCAGCTTCGCCGGTTACGGCAGCACCGATCTGCAGCTCACGCTGAAAAAGAAATTGAACAACTCCGACAGCTGGCAGCCGGTGGTCGGCGCCGGTCCAGGCGGAGGCGCCAATTTGATCCTGCTGGAACTCGAGGCCGGAGATCAGATCGCCGTTTTCGTTGATTCCGGGAAAATAAACGACAACGCCACGTTCTCCGGGTATCGAATCGCCAAGAAGTAACTCGAATCGAATCGTTGAACCTCTGAAGAGACAACCGTTTCCTCAAGATCGGAGACCGTTCCGAAAAATCGCGTTGAACAATCGGGAATATTCGAAAAGCTAAAGATCCATAGGACATTCGATCCGAAAATTCATTTCAATCGATCGGGACTCAACGTGAACTAAAAATCCTTGATAAGGAGAAAAACACCTTCGCTTCGGTAATCAGCATTTTCATTGTTTGTTTGGTCCATAGTTTATTGTGAAAGATGTTCGTTGTTATTTGTTGAAGGCTGATTACTGACGATCTTGGTATATATTTTATCATGGTTACCTGATATCGACCTGATGCTGAAGAGTGCAAAATGGAGAGAACTCGATGTTCGATTGATATTTGATCAAACTGCGAATTGATGATACATTATTTTCTTTTATCGTCCACTTGCCAAACGGGATCGCTCGTAGTGATTGTTATCGGAAATTGTACGAGTTCTGAATTGGAAAATGATCGATCAGAGCGGTTTCAATCTTCTCCGCGAACCTAACGCTTTGTGATAGCCCTTTTACCTTCATTCTCTCTCTTTCTCTCTCGAAATCTCTCGTTTCTACCTTGAACTCGGAATTCGTGAGCTTTCTTCTCTATTCTTTCCTGTTCTCTCTTCTCCCCTTATCTTCTCTGTCTCTATGTACACTTTCTCCTTCCGGTGTATTTTCATTGTACATATACCTTCGTATTCTAAACGTGTGTACAAATCCTTCAATTCTTATATACTATTTTTTTGCTTTAATCTTTTCTCCTTCGTAAGATTGTCTTTCTCTCTTTCTATCTTCCTTCCTATTCGTTTATTCTCTCTGATACCTTGCCTCTGTACCTACGCTATTTATTTCTACTCGTTTCTAATTACTTTCTAATTATTTCATATTTACAGTTACTTGTACGTCTCCCTTATGAATACCTGTCAGTATTACGATCTCAAAATTTGCTGAAGTTGCCATGAAATATTATTATAGACCGAAATTTTAAGGAAGCAAATATTTACCTATCTTTCTTCTTTTTCTTCTTCTTCTTCGAGGCTTCCAAGCTTTCCTCGCCTTGCACACTTTTGTCTCTTATTTTCGTACTTTCTCTCGCCACACTGTAATTATATGCTTCCTGCGACTAGTCTACTCTCTCTTTCTCCCTGGTATTTTATTTTCTTTCATTACAAGCTTTCTCCTTTTTACTCATTTCATCTCTAATTGCTTCCTGAAACTTTTAATAGAATTCTTTTGTTTCTTCATTTTTTTACTCCAATGTGTTGAAGTACCTGAAATTTATTGCGTTACTGTGTATCTATTATTCACACTTCTAGGTGCTATTTTCTGATTCTACATTAAGTAAATATTAATTGTTTGAAAAATTCTTCGTTCTCTTCCGTTCATTCTTATTCTTTTGTCTTCTCTACTTCTCTACTTTTGTCTTTTGCGATCTATTTCTGAACTACCTTTGTAAATTTTTCTCTAGTTCAGATTCCTTCTTCTTTACTCAATTTTCTTCTACTTCCTTGTTACTCTATGTCTCCGTTCTTCTTTCACTATTTCTTCATTTGCCTATTCTAGTCTCTCTATTCTGTTTTCTACAACTCTCACATTCAAATTCCTGCACGCCAATCTTCTGGTGACTTTACTTATTTTTTTACTTTATTGTACTTTTACTCAATTCTAATTTTATTTTTCTACCTATTACTTTCTACATTATTTTATATCGATATTTCTTTTCTCTTCATCATCCTTCATTTTGTTTCTTCTTCTTCTTCCTCTGTCTCTCTTTCAAAATTCTCTGTCATTCTTCTATATTTCTATCACTTGTTTTCTCCTCTCTACTTTCTTTCTCCTTTCATTCACTGTCATTCACTGTCATCTATTTATTGATTCTACACTATTATTTAAATACATTCGACTCTATTTACTTCTGTCCCTCTACTGAAATTTCGTTGAAAAATTTGTCTACTTTTCACTTTCCAATCTTTTCTCTTCAATTCTTTTCTTCTCCCCTATGCTCTCAGAATATTTTTTCTCTAGTATTTTCAATCTTTTCTCTTCAATTCTTTTCATCTCTGAATCTTCTGTTCTTCATTTTCAGTCTACTCTTCTACTCTATTAGCTGTTTACTCTCTGTGCAGACATCTCACTCATTAGTTCCGCAAACTCTGTACATACTTGTAAAAATTCCCGTTTTCGTCTTCCATCTATACTCTGTCTCTTTTCTTAGCTTCGTCTCTGTCTACATCTCCGTCTCTTCTATAATTCTGTATTCTACTCTATCATTTTCTTCACTTCCTCCTTCGAAAACGCAAATTTCATTCTTAATCTGTTAAATACACGCCGCGGGAAACGCGACGTCTCCTCTAGTCTTCTTATCGATACGATTAGGAAATTGAATGCTCTAATAATGCTGTGCATTTTACTTTTACATAAGATATACCTTTTCTCTTCTTTCTTTTCAAAAACGTTACTAAACTTCGCTCTCTTTTTATTCCCATCTGTTGGTCAATCTTATCGTTTCACTATTCTTTCGACTGTCTCTGCAAAAACTTCGTCTCCCTTTCGTCGACAGCTGCGAATCTCATTCTCCTCTTTTTCTCTCTTCTCCCCTTTCTATCCGCTTTCTCTCGAAATTTCTGTGACAATCTCTCTCATAACGTTGTATATAATCTTTCACACGCTGAGAGAATTGTGCTCGTACCAACGCGTGACAACAATGGAAGTTTCTGTCACTCTCGCGCGGAAAAATCTGTTCTTATTTTCGTTCTCATTTCTGTTCTCCCTTTCTAATCTAGTCCTCCGCAGCTATCGTCCACTCGATCCACGCTGTCTCACGAAAGAACGACGCGAACACAATCTCTGACTATTTCTCTCCCTCGTGCTGTGATTCTCAAGTGCTATAAAACTGTTTCTACTCTCAAACAGCCAATTGTTTCCTGTATCAGGTTAAACGTTTACATTTTTAGCTGTTTCTGTGAAACGTGGCAGTTGCTCCGCCGATTTCTCAAATTTGCCCGCGAACGCGGAACAACTTCAACCCCTTCAGACCTAACGTGCAGTACAATTCACAATAATTTCGTTGTTTCAAAATAAATTCGGGAATTATCGGTCAAGTAAAAACGGAGTAACAGGAACCTGGTTTATCGACCGTTGACGCTAAAACCATTCCGTAGGTTTCTTATCGGATAAACTTGAATTTTAAGCGTGCAACGACAAAAAGCGAGGAAATATTTTGATTAAATAGTTTATGAACATTCAGGTCTGACGGGGTTAAGTGAAAGTCTGATTTTTAACGAAAACACAATTGATACGTTGACCGATGTGGCATTTACGTACGATTTCCATTGGGAAAAAGATCAAAGGTTTACTGTGAGGTATTAATAAACATGAATCTTTCTCTGATGAACATGTGTCAGTAGAAAAAAGAAAAAACTGTCAGGTTCGAAACGGACCAGTGAGAATTTTTCTAAACGTCGTAACTGTCAACGTGCCAGAGGCCGAATTAATGGCGGTACAAGCAACTGTTACCGCGTCTGGTGTCTGTGTTTAAAAAAATAAAACGATCGGCTCCTACGTTTCTGTCTTTCTTTTCCAGCATTCTGCTCTACCTTCTCTATTTTTTCTTTCTCTCTGCTGAACTCTCTCCGCCACTCTGACAATTCGTCTCCAACATGTAAATACCGTGATTACTGTTTCCTCCGGGACGCCGCGTTCCGCCATGTCCGTCCAACTCCGTTCTTTCACGGTGCGCTCGCTATCACAGCGGTTACGTCGTCGAGAGAAGTCGATCAAAACAAAAACACCGAGCGAAACAAAAGGACGCAAAAGCGAGAAGAACACGACAAAACGAGCAAAACGAAAGCAATAAAATGAAAAACAACAGACGAGAAACGTTCGAGCGTGTCGAAGAAGCGTGCACGCGGCTGCAAAACAGTGCGTTCTATTACATTTCTCTTTTCTCCTTCGTTTATTTAGTTTTTTTCCCTTTATTTCTTTTTGGTTTGTGTGAAGCTTATAAAATAATCTTGTATTAATCGCATTACTTCTCTATTTCATGATCAAACGGTTATTTCGTATGTTTTCTTGAGTACATTCCCCCGTATCCTGGAGGAAGAAGTTCGTCATTCACGGAATGTTTCGATCAATTGTTCAGCTCCACGGGAGTCTCAAGTTTTCCTTTGTACTGTTCCACCACCTGATTCACTTCTGTCACGAAATCGACTACTTGATCGGGTGCACGGCCGATAAACGTCAATGGATCGAGGAGATCGTCGAGTTTATCGTGGATCGGCTTGAAATAAGGATCGTTCCTGATCCTCTCGACCAGATCGTTGTCACGACCGTGTTGCTTCACTTTCGCAGCGGCTTCTTGGGATAATACTCGTATCTTCTCGTGGCACACCTGTTGCAATCATTAGTATTAATCAATTGAGAATCTTTCTGGAAAAAGGGTCTACAAGTCAAATGGCAAACCGAGTGCAGAGTTAAAACTTTTACTTTCAATCTCTTTAATGTATTGCTACGTTTGAATCGATAAGCTTATAGATAAGATTTTCGCGAAAAAGAATACGTAGATCTATAGATCTAAAAACATTCCCAACTATTGTTACGCATACGTCGATCAATGTCTCTACAATACGCAGGTAGGTGATTAACTTTGACTTACTAACGAAATTTCGATGAAACCTTTCGAAATAATCACTTATAAATTATTCTATAGAATTATTTCTAAATTACTCGACAAAATACTTCGAATCTCGTGAACATTACCTGTCTATCGCCACCAGCCTTCACCATCGCCATTATTATATTCTCCGACGCCATGAAAGGCAGTTCTTGAGCCACGTGTCTCTCGATAACCTTGCGATTGACAACGAGACCGTCTGTGATATTATGGAGGATCATCAGAATCACATCTGCCGATAAAAACCCTTCTGCCAGCGTGATCCTCCTATTCGCCGAATCGTCCAGCGTCCTTTCCATCCATTGTGTCGCCGCGGTTTGCAACGCATTGTTCACTAGAATCATCAAATGCCGGGCTATGCTGCAACACCGTTCAGACCGCATAGGATTCCTCTTGTATGGCATGGCGCTGGAACCTATCTGCGTGCTCTCGAATGGCTCCTCGACTTCCTTCATGGAAGCTAGAAGCCTAATGTCGCTGCATATCTATGGATTTAAATAGCAAAGTATAATTATCGTTTGCAATCAATTATATACACCAACTTGTCTCCAGACATACGAACTTCAAATTCAAACCTCCAAACAAACACCTCGAAAATGAGTTAACTTCGAATTTATTTAATCCAACGCTTCCTCAATCGCACACGAAATTCAAGCTCAGGTCATGCACTTTAACCTAGTCCAACTTTACTTTATATTCACTCACTTTATGTATTGTCGCGCCTAAAGAGCTGAGAACATTCAGGCACTCGACGTCGACTTTTCTAGTATAAGTTTGCCCGACCACTGGGTAAGTTTTCTCGAAGCCAGCCATCCCGGTTACTAATTGATCCAGTTTCTTCACCTTTTCTCCGTCTCCTAAAGGTATTCAATGAAATCTGTCAAGATTAAGCTAAATACGCAGTCGAATGATAATCTGTCGATTGATCAATGCACAAAGATATCCGATTTCCTTATTTTCTAAATTCTGCAGTAAACGATTAAACATTTCGAAAGCACGGTGCATATGCTTGCCATTGAATAACTGAAGAAAAGACGCCTGGGTGCCAGTGGTGCCTTTCACTCCGCGGAACTTGAGATCGTCCCTAGCTCGTCGCATGGCTCTTTCGTCCATCATGAGCTCGTGGAGCCACAGGGTGGCTCGTTTGCCGACAGTCGTCAGTTGGGCCGGCTGAAGATGAGTGAAACCCAGCGTTGGGACGTCGCGGTACTCCATTGCAAACGTTGCGAGCCTCGACATGCAGTTCGCTACTCTTGGCAGGAGTAAGTCGAACCCACTGCGTAATATAATTAAATCCTTGCAAAGAAGATATTAGAATTACACACTGGACGTGAAATGTAGTAATTAGGTCGCGTAGCGTGAAAAGACGGATTATTGAGAGGATGGAGAAATTATTTAGGATTAACTTATAGTTCATCGGAAATTAGACGTTTCATGTCGCACGATTAAATCGGTTTTACCGTATTGTCTCCAACGTAACAACTGGTTGCGCCTAAATGGATAATGGGAGCAGCTTTCGGGCACTGGTTCCCGAACACGTGTATGTGAGCCATAACGTCGTGTCTGGTCAGCCTCTCTTCTTTCGCGACGGCTTCGAAATCGATGTCGTCTATGTGATCCTCCATTTCGGCGATCTGCTCGGCCGTGATGTCCAAACCGAGTTGCTGAAATAGTTTTCTACAGTTAATTCCTCAGATTTTAACCCTTTGAACCCTGTAGTCTCCAATATTGCACCAGGAATAATATTAGATATTTTAATGAATCTTAAAGAAACTACCCTATAATTATTAGATTCTTCACGCATCCAAATTTTCTACTAAGGAGGAAAATGAAAGATCTAAAAAATGTTACAGCATTCTTCATTTTCGCTAGGGATACTATAAAAATCAGTTGCAGTTGCTGATAGATTACAAAACTATCTCGAGTGCTGTTAATAGTCCAATTACGAAGCAACAGATTAACTCATCCGAACAACATAGAATTACACTAATAATACTCCAATAATTCAAATCATAGTCATACTAAAGAGTCATGCAATTTTCTTGTCTCAGGTTTAATCAAATCGTTCCTCCAAATTTTGCCTATAACTGCAACTTCGCAGAATTATCTACAATATATTTAATGCCAGGTAACTTGTTATAATATCGTTATGAAAAATAGTTCCACAAATATTTCTATTGTACATCAATTTCTAAGTTCTCGATTATTCTTCCAAGATTAATATTTGCCACTGACTTATTTAGGTCGTTCAGCAAGTATCATCATCCGGTGACCCTTCAGATCATTAGATCTCGATCACCATAAAAAATGCCGAATAAATCATGAAGAATGAACCGTTGAGGAAGCGGTTTACGATAAACGCGGTATGGCATCGGCTCGAATTATCGCTCGCGATAATAGAATAGATGTGCAGGTGCTTTCTGTACTTCTTATCCCTCTTTCGACGTACGCTGTATCATCAGATTAGATAACGAGGGCTTGGTACTGGTTCGTAGGCATCCTCCACGTTACGAGCTTCATTCTATCGTACACGTTTTCACCGTGAAAAAGTCCGATTTCCGGCGTCCGAACATGGTGTCCCTAGAGACTGTCGCGGGTATAGTGATAAAAGTTCTCAAGTTGGTGAGGAGCCTCTTCTATTGTTTAACTAACAAAATTCGAACGATTCAATAAGGACAATTTTGTGATTATCAACGAAATAACGCAGAATTTTGCGCTCGGACCATAACTATTTGAAGTTCAGTGATACGTGACAGAATCTCCACCGGAAGGATCGTTCCAAACAAATCTAAACGCTTGTTCAACATTTTTGCACAATTGTTGTATAATTCAATATATCAGCGACGATATATAAGCATCGGGAAATATTCCAGTCATTGAATTTCGATTTTCTTTCGCTCCGGTAGCTTGTGCGCGGTTACACGAAATGCTGGATTACAGTGGGATCAACTCGAACATATAAAATCGATATAACGCGTTATCAGTCTTATCGAAATATACGGATATTTTTCTAAAGATATTTTTCCTCGCGATCGTAATTGTAGTGTCAGTGAAACCAAGTTATCTTCCGACGATAGCACGATATAAATAGTTGCGATTAAGGTTAACCTAAACGATCACGGAGTCAATTATTGCACGATTCACGGATGAATGTTTATATCCAGATTTATTCGATTCATAGATTCATTCGGATAAGTAACTCGAAACGGAGCACTTTTGTCGTTGCTCGATCTATCCTCGTTTCAAACGATGATCGACAGCAACGAGAGGAACGAAATCGATCGCGCGATCGAATTCTCGGACAATGGCGGCAGTTTCGCGAATAAAAGCAACACACCTGACAAATCATCACAACCGGACTCATTCAAGAAGCATTCGTCGCGCGGTTCTATGATTCATTTCGGTCCTTATCGGCGCACGATAAGGAACCTTGTTTGCCGAACGATATAACGCCCTTTCTGATTTATAGTATTGCGATACGAGTGTACTACTTTACCGGGGCAAACTTTTCCTTAAGAATCTAGGACAGTTGAAAAATCGAACGTCCGAGCGACGTCGAACAACGTCAAAATATAACCGACACACTTCATTGTTCATAATGATGTTGTAAAGGTTCGAATTCCATCGATTTGACTCGTGTACTCTTGTTGTTCCAGGTTATAAACCTTATAATCCTGATACTCTACCGAACAGGATACCAAGGAGAGTTCCTCGGTGTTGGCGGAACATGGAACTTGAACGAGGATAAAAATCCGGACGCGGAAATCGTCGCGTCCGGAGTGCTGGTCGGATTTTTCATTTACACCAGCGTCGTTTTAATTACCTACTGCTTTGGGAGCTCGTACCATAAGAGAACGCTTGTCGTAAGTTTATTGTTCAAACTTTTGTACCAATTGTTCTCGTATTAACCCTTTGCACTCGGAAGTTTTTCGTTAGAAATATTTTAAAATTTTCTGATGAGATAAAGACGATATTTTGTGAAACTAAGTTGAAGAGAAATCACGTACATTGAGGAACAGAGCTATTTTATTTCAATATTTCTCAAACTGATGCATTATACGAAGTATAATATTAAATATCAAATTTTATAGTTTTACTGTATGAAATCAAGTGGTGCACCTCTCGAATGCAAAGGGTTAATTCGGACGAGTTCAAGCATCCTTTAACACTGGAACTACCGTACCAGTTAAAATGACTGGTTTCGATTTTTTTTAGCAATTATTGATATCTTCGACGCATTGAATATACGAAATGATTTTTAAAATAAATAGTTTCGTTTCAGTGCTATAATGTCTGACGAAACTGAAAATAATCTATTGTTATAATTTTTATAGGAATTGCATATTAATCGTACTAAATGCTCGGTAGTTCTAGTGTTATAAATATTTCACCGTATATTAATTTGGAGGAAACGTTCTCGTAGGAAATCATAATGAACTTCGTTGGAACTTTTATGTTCATCGCTGTTGGCGGAACTGCGCTTCATTATTGGCACGGTTACCTTCCGGAACACAAATTCGACACGATCGTTCAGCAGAAACAGGTAAAGTGATAAGCAATGTGTTTTTGTATTGATCGATTAAAATATGTTCTAATTAACATTTCTATTTTTCAGGTTGGATTAGCTGTTGGATCCTTGTGCGTGATCGAGGGCGCAGCGTACCTCGTCGACTTGATACTGAGCTTCCTGCACTTCGTAAAACATCGTGACGACATACTAGAATAGATTTCTATTATTCCTAACACTTAATTAGATGATCTAATCAATCGATTTTAATTGATCACCTGTATCATTCGCAGGAGTAACAGTTTCGAAGCTCTCGTTCTATCTTCCCAAGAGAGGCGATTCAAATATAAAATGAATCAGAAGGAAGAATTTTGGAAATTATTTATTCGATAACTATGATCGTTTATTATCACGTTCTACAATTTAGTTCATCATTCACAAAAACTGTTTCGCAACCCACGCGTACAGAAATATCACAAATTCATAAAGCACAGTGAAACGAAGCAAAATGGCGAAATAAGATTCGCTAAACTGTATCAGATTTTGAACATTGAATCATCGAATGAATCATCGAACGATTTAATCATTTTTTAACCGGCAATGTAGCAAACTTTCCTCACGGTAGACAATAAAACATTAGCTTATCATCTCGATAGTCTAAATATCATTTCGAAATAATTCTGGAACATGGCAACGTTCACAGTCAAAGAATATTCATTTTAACTAAGTTAAACTCAGCGAACGCGTATGAAGTATTGATGACACTATCGAATGACACATTTAACGCCATCAAATATTTTGTACTTATGTACTTTTGTACTACTTTCCTATACAATGTAGGAAACCATAATGAACTTTTATATGATAATAAATATATAATTACTATTTAATAACTGCATCTTGTTATCTTTAACAGGAAAAGTTTCTTGAACGCATTTCCAGGGGATTAAAACTTCAATTCGTATACCGTGGAATTAATTGAAGTACCGTATCAATTCCCAATCTTTGATTAATATTATTTGAACATCGAAACAAAATTGATCGTTGAAACAAACGTGAACGATACGCTGACACCTTCAAGAGACGAATAAATAGTACCTGTCTAATATTAAGAAGTGTGTCCCCGTTTATCCGATTAATTGACCCCGTTACGATTAATTTCCATCGAGTCGTAAGGAACAATTCAAATTAAAGTGGAAAAATGGGTCGAGCTTGCATGGATCTTTGGACGAGCATCCATTTTGTACTGAAGACTGTCGTAGTCGTAAGTGAAACGGACTGATCAGCTTGATAACCAGAAAATGACAGAATTGTCAAAGTATCTTTTTGATGTAGGCTCTAATGATCATCGTGGAATTTTTAGTTTTCGATTGGACCACGAAACAATACACTCGTTTCGTGTATCTCGAAGGATATTACATAATCGTTCTCGCTCATTTGATCATCGTCTTATACGGATACACTTGGTTCGACGTGTCCCCGATTTTGGTAATTGTATTTCATAAATTAACACGTATATCCTGATACAAGCGATTATTATTTTAATTACGCTAATATTTACGTAGATTGATGAAAATTTATCCAAACATTGAAAGCGATAAATTACAGAAGAAAGTTTCATTGAACTTTATGTATATTTGAAAATTATCGGGATATAGTTTGAAAATCTCATTGATTCTCAATGATTAATTCTCTTTCGTGCAGGAAATCTTAGTAGTCGTTTCGTCCACGCTGATGTTGATCTTCACAATCGTTTCGTACATTAAAGACTACAATTCGAAGTACGTAGTGGGAAGTAAGTATCGAAGAATCTAATTCATTATCAAATTACGTTCCTTGTATTAATTAGTGAATTAACTTTTAGAACGGGAGCAAGAACAGTTCCTGATTTTTGTTATACTGACTATAGGTAAGTACCAATAATGGATTCCTAGAAGATAACCAATGATCTTTACAATTTTCAATCTCCATTGACAGTTGGAGGCGTACTCCTTATCATCGACATGATTTTTCTCATACTGGGAGCTCTAGGAAAAGGTCCTAGCTTCGCCAAAAGGGCCGGCGGTGGTGAATAAACCTGCCCAAGTATATCGCAGTCGAATGAAAAATTATTATATTCGTGTACATTTAAAAATAAATGAAAGTTTACTGAAATAAACTACTCGATGCCCATTAATACGTCTAAATATCGTATCGATCGTTAAATCTGTAATTGAATTGCACTGAATTCACCTTCAGTTCGTTAATAAATCGATTTATTTAATTAAATCGATTTTATTTAATGATCGTACGCATATTCCAGTCATCAAACTTCAAAGCAATCGACGATCAGTTCAAATAAATATGTTTGATTTCACGCGTCGACTTCTGAGAGACTTTAGCTTCCTGTTGAAAGTGCAAAAATTGGTAACAGAATCTCTGCAGAGTCTGATTAAGCAGAGTATATAATTAATTGGTTATTTAGATCGTGTGTATCGTCTGCCTCTGCGAATTATCGAAGTACAATGAATACTCCGTGCCAAGATGGTTATGGGTTATTTACTGCATCGACACGTCGACGTATTCGATCATTTACGTTTCGATTGGGATGACTCACTTGTTCGAGAAACCACGGAAATTGCCAGTTAGTTGAATAATAGAGTACATTATTATTAACAATAAGAATCATCTAATATTTGATAAAAGAAAATTTGGGGAACACGGAATTATAATTGTAATTATACGTAACAGTATTTGAAACAAGATTTCTTGATCGATATTGCAATACACATTTCATCTAATATAATTTACACCGAGAAAGCTTTACGAGGTTTCATTCACATGGGTGTCAACTTAACATATGACCCGTGGAATTCACTGAACTTATTCTTCGCCTACTATTCTCGTAATTAGAGTTGCTTAGGTCAGCATAGAATTTCTCAGTTAGATCGAATGTTTCGGTGGAGAATCTTCATTTGTAGTTTGGGAATTCTTTGAATGTTATATGTTAGATTTATTATTAAGAGGATATTATACTATGCGAATAATATTATTATATTATTATATATATATATAATATTATATAATATAATATTATTATTCGCATAGTATATTACAATTACTTACAAATTACTGTCATAATCCTGAGAACACTTATATATTTTATTTACAGGAATTCACCTGTTTCTTACTTGGAACGATTTTCAATTTCATAGGTGCCATTGCTGGCATCGAGAGATCACGCGACGTAAGCGCCTTGGACACCGAAACGAATAGAAGCGAGTTAAAAATCGGATTGCTGCAGCTAGGTGCAGTGTTCATCTCGATCCGTTGAAATCGCATAAAACCGACATTCCATTCGACTAATTCAACGTTTTCCGATCGTTTTCAGCGAATTTCATCGTCTTATTCTTCGAGACTGCATACATGATCTACCTGGAAATCTCGAAAATAAAAGAAATCGAAGGAAATCCCGTGAATGTACGAAACCACTGAAATACATGCTCCTTGCTGAACACTGTGTCTCGATTTCACTCGTTTAATTTTACAGAAAGGTTAACGATCGGATTATAAAACAAACGATATTTATTTTTATGCATCTGATTCACATGTCAAATAATTTTCCGTGGTCATTCTCTTCTCGCTACTCACGCTTGGTTATCACAAGAATCACTAAGTCTGCAATCAGTACTGCAGCTGAAAGCATCATAATCGTACGATTAAAAGCTTGATCCTTAAAATCTCAAATTTATATCATCCTACCAAACCTTCGCTGCGTTTCGAATAAGTTCAAAGGGATGAAATATTCTCGAGTGCCGAACTCACCTAATATGAAAGGCATAATACAATGTTTTGACAGATCCAGCAACGCAGTGAGCAACGATAAAGCGATGTACAGTCCGAGAGCGAATGCTTCCTATAAAGTAGAAAACCAGAGCTATCGAATAAATCGAATGGAATGAAAATCTTGTTCATTGTATAAATATAGCGTTCGAAGAAATGTTGTTTCTCTAAATTATATAATACATAATTAATAACGTCTCGTTTTCCATCAGTAAGCAACGCCACTAAAGTTTGATTGAAAATTCATGTAGTAAACCTATCATTTGCTTCAAGGTTTCCATACCCCATCAAATAACGATGAATCCTAGTTCATATTCTATGCAGCATGGATAAATGATTAACACGAGTATAACCTGATTGAATTAAATAGATTAAATTACTTTCGTACCGTCCACACGGTTTGATCCTCGACCACGTAGGACACGATATAAAAGAACGACAGATAAGTCCAGCCATGGATGGTGATCACCCATGCAAGACCTACGCCATTTTGGTAAAAGATCAAGGTCAGGATGCAGACCACCTAAAACATAACCAATCGACACGATCCGATAGAATTATCCAAAAATTCAGTGGAATTCTACGGGAAAATTCACTCACAAACTCGATCAATCTTAATATGAAATTAACGTCTGTGAACAATTCTTTGACCCCTTTCATCGTCGATTCTAGATTCCCTGTTCACTGTCAAATTGTTCCTCTCCAACGCGCCAACATGAAATTTTTATGACACGACGCGGATCGATGGGGAACGATTGATTCCGCGGTACGTTCAGGTAATAATGTTACCGAACAAAATACGAACGCGAATATTTCTGAGTGTCGTGTCAAGGACTATCGTTTTAAAGGAAATTCTCATCGATGTCGGAGTAATGAGCGCACCGATACCTCTCTACGGGTTCAAGTTGAACGCGTGGTCGACGGATAAGACGTTGTTAATATGGAAGATAGTATCCCTGGTATGTTTCTAGAAAAACGAATAATATCAAGTAAAATAGGAACGTGAGTCTGTTTCATTTAACCCTCTATGGGCCGAATTTTTGTTCACGATTATAACAAAATCTATACAATACAAAATTAATAAATATCCACATATGAATACAAATTAACAATGTGTTCGATACTTTCAATAATTTCATCAAACGAATATGTTTTGTAACTTTCAAGTTATAATGACGTTAAACTTTCACGCCTGAGTGTATAAAAGCTTAAGTTAACTGACCACTTAATTTTATGCACCACTTTGAGTGCAGAATGAAATAAATCAACAAGATGCCAATATACTGATATGTGACTTCAAAGTTACATGGGCCTACAGAGGGTTAATTCGAAATTAATTGATGATTCTGCAGGCCGCTTGCGTAATTGGTACAGCGATATACTACAGCCCTTTGGATCCCTACTTCGAGGTTCCATGTTTCGGTATCTTGGTGCCCACGTTCATCATCGGCTATCTAATCATCATTTCATCCGACATCTTAGCTTTGTTCACGTTCGAGGATTATATGTTTCTCGTGAGTAAGTGGAACGTGTGTGATACGATGATAAAATACGAGATCAGTGTTGATTATTCTAGTTTTTTCGAATCGCCTGGAATAATTAGAAGATGATAATTGTTACCACTAATTCATCCTTGTTTATTTCGAATCGAATGAACTACTGTTCAACACTACTCGTAACGGAAAATTGAGGGGCGAATTTAACGTTTCTGATTTCGGTTAATCAAGGAAATATGTTTCAATTTGATTGGGGCAATTGGAAGCATGGTGTGCGGTATTTATCAATTTTACAAATGGGTGGACTGGATAATGGAGACTAATCGTGATTCTGATGGAGATTATAGGTACGTTCAATATTGTTTCACGTTAATTATAAGCAAACTTCTTTCAAAGTTCTTTAAAATGGAAGTTGACAATAATTCTTTCAAAGGTAGTCTCGTAGAATGTAAATTTCTGTATAAATAAATTTAGTGAATTACTACTGGTTGTCAATAATATTTGTAACCAGTTTTTCAGAAATCGTTCTGTCCATCGTCTTCATAGTTCATTCGATATCAATGACAGTGGTCGTCGTGCATCGGTTTTTACAGCAACGAGAACTTTCATCATCTAACGAGGATAATTAACGTGTCGATTCGACGTTTGCACAATGTTCGTATTAATGAAATGAAATAAATATTATACAGCAATGGATGTTAGCTGAATTTGAAATATTTTATGCGTAGAATTTTGAGAAGTAATCGAAAGAAGAGAAAAGGAGCCGGTGTGTACATCGTGCTTTTTTTCTTATCTGCCAGCCAGCGAAATAAAGGAGGGTTACAAAGAGACCACGATGTGCATCAATTAGTCTACTTGACCTCGTAATCATCGTGAATGACCGGTACGATCCCACACCCACGATCCGGATACATAATCACGTTAATTACGAGCGTTACTGGTAATTTAACCTTTCGAGGCTTGACTCGAAAAACGACACCTATTTACCGAAGAAAGGGGAAAATGGGGGAATTATGTAAATCCACAGATACGAATCTGCATGCCAATTAAACTTGGCTTTTGTAACTCTGAATCGTCGGTGATTAAATTAGCAAACGAAAAGGATACTTCCTGAAACAGTCTTTTCTACTATTATTATTTACGATAGAAATATTTTATCAGAAATTCTTGTTTCCAACTATGATTCAGTGAAAAATGATTTCTCGGTATAAAGTTCACCTAAATAAATTAACAATTGAAAATGAATAGTGAAACTTTAGAATCTCCGTTTAAATTCTGCAACTTAGAAGGGGAACTGTAATAAATACGAATGAAAAGCGTCGTAGAGGACAATAGTCAGATTTCCAAACCGGAAATCGCAGTGAACGAGTCAAGATCGATAGGAAGATCACGCAGTGGTCATCGGTAAAGATGATGCCGCACCTACTGTGTTTGTGAATGCTATTAACAACGTCGCGGTGTCCACGTCTGTATGAGTGGCTGTGTTTCATTACAATAGTGACGCGTGAGTACTTACGTAGTATCGCTATCCTGTAGCAGCAACAGCAAAGCATCGAAACCATTACGTAATGAAAAATAATCTAGTAAATAGTATGAAGTATTGTCAGTTAGTCTGGAGTTTATTCAAAGAGAATTGAAACCATTGCGTTTAATACATTTCTTTAATAACAGGAAGATATTGAAACTATTATTACAAATGAGAAATTTCATTGTAATTTATTTTAATCCTTTGCGGACGAAGATTCTTTGAAATATATAAAACCTTCAGCAGATGAAGCTAAATGATACATCAATTGCTTAACACTAGAACTACCGTACCAGTCAAAACGACTGGTTTCGATTTGTTTGTTTAGCATTATTGATATCTTCAAAGCATTGAATATTCGAAATGATTTTAAAAATAAATAGTTTCATTTGAGTACTAGAATGAATGTCTGAAGAAACTGAAAATAATCTATTGTTACAGTTTTTATAGGAATTGCGTATTAATCGTATTTAATGCTCGGTAGTTCTAGTGTTAAATAATAGGAAAAACAGAAATTACGTGTTGATTTCTTACTGTTTAAGTAATTCGATCATTTGCGACTCAGCGTTAGAAATTTTATGTCGCCGACAGGTCGACATTCATCTGCAAAGAGTTAATATTTTTATCTTATTCATAATATTTCTCCTGTAGCATCCACTGGAAAAATATTAAAAGTGTCTTTTCAAATATCTTAAATATTAAATTAATTTCGTAATAGTAATCTATTTGAGAATGTTGGTTTTTAGGTGTTCTATCCAACGAAACGAAGAACCTACTTTTTCTTCCGGTGTGTGTTCTATTTCGCGATAAATAATTATATCTCGAGCCGAAGTTTCCTGATCGATATCGGATATAAGAAGATAGTTCGTGTAGAGGCTGGCTCGTACTTGATCCGCAATCGTCGCACGCGAAATTACAGGCATTTTCATAAGCATTTCAATATTTACATCGTGCTGCTATCACTGGCCGTGTCATGGCCGAAACGTAACTTTCCAACGTCGACGTCTCTTACGAAACGAGCCTGCGAATATAGGCCGCTAATTGTAACTTTTTCACACTTTATAAACTGGTAATCCGCTTCTAAAGCGAGCGAACAAGGTGATAATAAGAAATAACTTCGCTGCACGAAAGAAAATGGTCGAAATCGATTGACCGACGCTAACACCGCAGACGACATTCTTTAAACCGCGAATATTTATGCAAATTCTGGTTAAATGTGCATAACGATACAACGCACACATAAGGAATTCATTGTTTATCTCCTCTGAAATCAGAAAGTTATAATCAGCTTCCGAGTACCTATGCAACTGTACATTTTCATAGCGAAGCATCCCGAATGCAAAATAAAAATCAGGATTCCTGTATTTATAATTTCAATTACTCACGACGCAGTGATAAATAAGAACCAACTGCCGTTTCAATCATTCTCTGATCTTAAAATCTGTTTTACTGAAGATGTATTTTTATATTGAATACTTCATTCTCTTTTTAATTAAAACATCTTCGAGGTTCCTTACAATCTGCTCGAACCAACGCGTAAACATCAGTGGTTCGCAATAAATTCTCCAACGAAACTCCGCATAAATCGAGGAACGCGAGGCATCAATGATAAAATCGTGTGGAATGAGGGAAGTGGCATCGACAATGAATTATTTCGTAACGTTGCTCGTCGAGGATTTACGAGAATTCCAGCAGCGCGCCGGCCAGAATTCGTACGCGCCGCCATTCAAGCGGCGTACACGTAATACGTTCATAGAAGAAAATTCGCCTCGGTCTCGCTCGCGTTCCCGATCCAATTCCACTTTCGTTTCATGCATGTTTAAATAAGACGCCACGGCTCCAAGGCTCTCCTGCGCGTGCACACATCCGCAGTGCCGTCCACGCAAATTATACACCGTGAGTCACGTGAAGTCCAGCATGCTCCGATGCATGCCACTCCGGCGACGCACCGAGAACACGTGCTCGTGAATTAAATCCCGTGGTTACCTCGCCCTTCGTTTTCAGGCTCCAATTACCTGTGACATTTTTTCCGTTTTGAAATACTCGCTCGCGTTTCCGCGATTCGCTGGATTATTTCGCTGCGAAGGGACTTCTGTTAACACTAGAACTACCGAGCGTTTAATACGATTGCTATGCAATCCCTATAAAAATTATGACAATAGATTATTTTCGGTTTCTTCAGACATTCGTTATAGTACTCAAGTGAAACTATTTATTTTCAAGATCATTTCGAATATTCAATGCTTCGAAAATATCAATAATAGCGAAACAAGAAAACCGGAACCAGTCATTTCGACTGTTAGTTCTAGTGTTAATGCTGCGAATGGAACACGGTTGATCGTTTGGAGATCGGATAAATTTTGTTGGAGAATGGTACAATCGGGGACGTTTTTAAGAGAGAAACGAAGGAATTGAAATTGATGTTTCTAAAGAGTTATGTAGAGGTAATGAAGGACTTGAGATTTTTGATAATTACACTGTAAAGAATCTTCGATTTGTTTCTGTCATTGGGGAACTCTATTATTACTGGCAATTTTAAATAACCCATCGTTCTAAGAATACTCCAGTAACCCTAAAGATACGCAGAAACCTATACAAAAAGTAGAAGGACTCCATTCTACGATGAAAAATTCTGAAGTTTGACGATATAGTGATTCCTAACTCACTACAGTAGCAATGTTTCAGAATTCTACTATCGTATTAACCCTTTGCACTCGAGAGGTGACTCGAATTCGATATTTAATATTGAACTGTGTATAATACAACGGTATATGAAATATTCGGATAAAATAGCTTTCTCTCAATTCACTTGTGATTTTTCTTTGAGTTCATTTAAAAAAATATCGTCTTTGTATAGTTAGAAAACGTTAAGTACTTCCAGCGAAATACTTCCGAGTGCAAAGGGTTAAAAGATTTCTAATTAAAAGTCACGTCATTTATTATATTAATATAACAAGCTCATATTGTCTCGCAGCTCCAACACGAACTAGACTCCTCAAAACGATACACAAAATCCGATTTCCAGTAACCGGACGACTCGGTGTTGGAAACTATAGTCGCTATTCATCTCGAACGAGCTAGCCAGCGAATAGGGCGCGACCTAAAACCGTGGCGGGCGAGGGCCACGGGTTTTTCGCGAAATTACAGGCCGGTGGCACAATCGTACGTAAGAGACCACGACACGGTCATACGGTGAACCTTGCTAACAAAGCTGGCAGACCGCCTGCGCAACTTCCACGCGCGACGTAGCCTCGGTGTGTCATGCTTCGCGTTCCAGTTTAAGTTGTGCCGCGGCGCAGCGTGGATGCACCGCGACTCGTAAACGAAGATTCACGCGCGATTCACCACCTGTGTAACCGTGAACGATCGAACTGATTAGCTCTTTGAACATCCGAACGCCCTCAGGCGCGCGTGACTCGATTCGTCGAGTAGAGGACACTTTGTGACGTCGATAAAAACTCGAAGACAGGTGGTAGAGTCCTCGTAGATTTGAACACATAGGCGCGGGAGGAAGTTTGCGAACACGTTCATGCGGAGTTCACTGATTATTCGTCGCGAGAGGTAAGTCGTTTGACTGGAGGAAGAGGAAGTTCTTGAGAAAAACGATAGGAAGTAGGTGGAAAGTCAATTGTGGCGTAGATAGAGAGTATGATGTCTTTTGGAGATGTTCGCGTGAGAATTAGTATTCATGTTATTCTTTTGTGAATGTTATTGAATGATTGTCGAGTAGGTGAATTCGAGGATTGAAAGATTTGAGAGAAATTGTGATTTCTTTTTGGATGAAGGTGGGTAGAGCTGTTCTTTAGAGTCTAAAGTTTAGACTGTTTTTGTATTGGAGAGCTGTAACAGTAAAAGAATTGAAAAAAACCGGAGTATAGAATGTTAATCAGCCACGTCCTCGTTGATTGCATAAGATGAGTGACAGAGGAGTAAGAGTATCCAGTCGGAAAATATCACTTCACTTGTCTGTCGATGAAGCTGTTTCAGGTTTAATCTTTGATATGAAATGTAAATTATTCTAATAACAAACGAATATTAACAATGCTTATGTTATGAAATCAATATTAAATATTAGACTCATTAAATTCATAATTTTATTCTGATTCAGACTACCGAGGCTATAATCAGTGCGTAAAATCTATAACTTATTCACGACTTTTTAAGAGGAAAGAAAAATCGACTGATATCCACACGTAAACGAGTAGTCAAAAAGTAACAAAGGAATCCGAGGTTATAGTTTACGATCTAGTCCTGAAATCACTTTTATCAGCAATTGTCCCCGGTCGTCGGGAATAACGACTTTCCCCTATTCCGTTTGATGTTTATCGCGACGTTTGCTACCGGCAGGGTCGTTGCGCTCGATGAGAGAGGTCTAGGAATCGGAAGGCAGGGAAATTGATCGTGAACAAAGGGCGAACCTGAAATCATTCAAGCTGGGTGACGGAAAAGGAAAGCACCGCAGAGTCAGAATGGCAGACGAGGGTCAGCAGGAGCAGCACGCCCCCAAGGAGCGCAGAATAATCAGACATTTGCCGTTTATAGTCAAGATTATAGAAGTTGTGAGTCTTCTCTATAATTTCAGTGAATAATTAGGAAAATATAGAGATTAATTCGGAAATTGGAGAATATCCGTATAAAATGTATATAATTTTGTAATTTTCTAATTTCTGTTATCTAATCTCCGTATTCCTTGATTGAATTGTATAATAATTACTCAACAAAACCTCTTAGATCGTTGAAGTTACACTGAATGCTTCCAGATACTGTCAGTGTTCGCGATCGGATTGATAGTCGATCCGTTGAATTCGTTCCAGCGAATAATGATCCGATCGAGATTCAAGCTGGACGACGTCGCGATCATTTACATCAGCATCGGCGGTTACATTATAATCAACACTCTTTTCATCATTTGTCACTTCCTCGGCGACCGAATACCAAGGAGAATGGTGAGTCGACCGTGTAATTTGACTTTCAGAATGAAATATTAGACTAAAAGATTCATCGTTTAAAAGTAGAATCTACATTTGAAATTTATTTAATCTACGAGTGATCTAATTTGAATGTATATAGCCGTTTGACATACTCGTAATCATCGGCATTATCTGAAATGCTAATCATCTCCGACAAATTTAACCCTTTGACGAAGATTCTCTGAAACATACAGAACCCTCAACAGATGAAGCTAAATTGTATATCATTTACTTGAGAAAAATAGGAAACTACGTGCTGATCTCTTGCTATTCGAGTAATTAAATAATTTGTTTACGACATAATCTTCCAAATATGAAAATTTCGAAATGTCGACATTCGTCCGCGAAGAGTTAACGAAAAAGTACAATGATTTAAAAGCTCGACGTTCGTCAAATACTCCTATAGATCTTTGTAACAACACCTAGATGATTACAGCGTGCTTCGTGACGATCAATTGACAAAGTGACACATTCGAGGTATCGCGTGACGATCAGATACTATCGTGTTATATAGGTCCGTTTCCTTCATTCAATGTTTTCGACATATGTTCACCGGCTCGAGGCTCTAATTTCCAACGATTCGACGGTCTCCATAGCGAGTCTAGTCCATGTGTGAATGTGTTGTGTACGTACACCTGAGGCGACGAATGGCGTATTCAGTAATTAACAGATGCGTCGTGTCCTTCGTACACGCACCAATACAGTCTCCATTCATACGTTTTCACATGATTTCTCTGTCATGGTAGCAGGAATGCTTTTGGTTGCTTCTAGTTTATGAAATTGAATTTCGAAATATTTCTGAATATTCACGAACCATCTGATCATCTGTAATATAATTCAAATTGATACATCACAGATGTAAAATCCCTGGAATGTAAAGAATAGTGGTCGAAGACCAAGAACTCAGAAATGATGATAGAGTGAAAATGGTGAAAATAATAAGCATATTTAATAAGAGAACGAAAGTAAGGACATAATGATGAATTTTTCAAGAGAATTCTGCTCCACTGAACACCATTAGATATTCAAGGCTGCGTAATGAAGGTATACTTGTTTTTCTCGGATCGCGAATCGCACTTCGCGCTGCAAGCAACAGTCAAGTAACTGTAGGATCATAATTACCGACGTGCCCTGAAAAGTGTAATTCCAGTGGACAATCCGTCGTCCCTATTAACTGCATATTAAACTCTAATTTGCCTGTGGAAAATAATTCTCTTTCAACGAGGATGTTCGCTTAAACACGTCGTAACGGTAATTTAATGAGCGTAATGGGTACCACTAAAATGTAATCTACACAGCTTTAAAACTGTTATCATAATTGAATGCAGCACTAATCGTCATTTCTGCGTGCGTCGGACTAATGAATTATTAATTCCGACTACACAGACTGTATTTCGAAGTGCATATGTATTAGACTGCAGATATTTATACAAATTTCTGTTTGAAGATTACGTTCGGAATAAGACAAACTTAATTTCCGTTCTAAAAATAAAATAACCGAGGAACGAAAATCAATGAGGAACAAGTTTAACGAAAGATAAGTAGTTCAGCAGAGAATATTGTCGCGCGTTAAACTGTTCTTGCGAGTATGGACGTTGGTTCTGCTCCAGTTTGACTGGGAACACGTAAGTTATCAACCTTCGGGCACCTATGCCTCGTCTTATCAACCACCTACTTTCGCGACGTTAACGCGTTGTTTAACGATCGTAACTCACAGTATCGAGGGCTCCCCTGTATTCGAAAAATGGCGGTGGCCGCCGTCGCGCAATGATAACACGTCGCATAATTAGAGATTTCGATGCGAACATGAGCAGCACCGTGGCCTCCTTTACACGGTACAAAGGAATTGTTCAAGAATAAATTGTCCTGGCCACTGTGACATGCACATATGCATATAAGATGCTCGTTTTATTGGCATAGATACAAAGAAAACAAGAGTTCATTAACAAAATATTAATCCTTTACACAGTGAGTTCATATTCGTGAAATAAGAAATTTCAATTGGAACTTAATTTAGTTACAAGTAACAGAAGATTGAATCTCCATTGAGGCTTACATTTTAATAAACTCGACACACTTCTACTAGTTACGAACAAATCAGTGCATTTTTGTAACAATTTATTCTATCAAAGAGGTCTGCAAGTTCGTACGAGTTCATTAGTACATAAAATATTCAAAGAAGTTACTACTAGGTAAACTTTGTACTATGAAACTGTGGGAACTGCTAATATCGAGATATGGTAGTTCGCAGCGAATAGACTATGAATATTTATGCTGACACAGATTCGCTGCGTACACCAACAGTCGAAAGTATACGAGAATTTACGATTGCCAGAGATCCAGCTCTAAAAACGAAATGACGTGTTTTTGTCCTAGTTGACACTCTTCTCTTCGCTGGGCGCGCTGCTGCACATCGTCGCTGGGAGCGTGATCGTCTACAACTGGAGGAAGATTCAGACCCCTTATTACGGCAATAACAATGAGTTCTATCCGAGCAAACAGTACATGGACATGTTCATATCAGCGGCGGTTTTCACGTTCGTGAACTCGTTGTTCTTCGTCCTGGAAGTGATTCTAACGGTAAAGTATTGGACGAGCAACGCACAGTGAAGAGGAAGACTTATTTTTCTAAGGGTAAATCGATTCTAACATCTGTTTACTGCCTATAACATCAAGAATAAGTATTTTAAGGTAACCATTGTTATGTAGATCTATTGACAGCTGCCAAGAAGCTAGAACAAATTTACAAGTAGAACATGTCGCGCGTTGTTCGAGGGAAACGCGTGCGACGTCACGACGAAGAATATTTTAACCCTTTGAAGCCGAGTTTTGATGTTAATTGAAAGCTGTAATTTCATTGATACAATGAGAGATTGATACGTGGTTTTCTTGTTCTTTTAACACTAGAACTACCGTACCAGTCAAAATGACTTGTTGTTTCGCAGTTTTTAATACCTTAGAAGCATTGAATATTTGAAATGATTTTGGAAATAGTTTCACTTGGGTACTATAATGAATATCCAAAGAAACTGAAAATAATCTATTGTTACAATATTTATAGAGATTACATATCAATCGTATTAAATGCTCGGTAGTTCTAGTGTTAAGATACTGTTTCAGATACTCGATGGATAATTCAGTTTGTGGAAAGAGTTTTTAGAAGTTTGAGAAATTCTGCTGAGTCTGCAAGGGGTTGATATCTCGAATTGTAATGTCACGAGTGACGCTTAGTCAATAATATATTACCAGAGAATAGTTACATGTATATTTATAAGTTTCTTTCACGATTTTAAGGGAACTAATTTATCATTCCGAGGAATAAGACGGAGGATATGTTATAATTGATACGCAAACGTTCGAGCCAAATATTCACGGATTAATTGTAAGATACTTGTAGAAGTAACTTTTCTAGGGAACACGAATGAAAATTGTTAACAATTTTGAAAGATGTACAAATCGTTAAATTACTGGTTCATACGATGAGGTATTAGTAGATTATTCGATTGAGATCGTTATAATTTCGAATGAGGAAATTTATACGATATATAAATCTATTTTCACTTTTATATGCAATTTATCATCGGTAGAATTAGTAATTAGGATAAGACGACGTTCGTTATAGGAATATCCAAAGATTATGGAATTTGCGTATGTATTATGCATTAAGATCCACCGAATAGATATCGATTAGTTTAATATTATGCTACAACCCAAAGTCTGTATAATTATGCAGTTAATTATCGTGTAGTGTAGATTCCTCGTTGAAGTATTAGTGGTAGTATTTTTGAGTTGTACGTCACGTACGTACGACGAAATTAAATCTCAGAATTGCCATGAATATTCTTAGGTAAAAACGATATGTTTTTTAATATTACCGTTTAATATAAGGGAGCCAAAAGAATTGTAATTAGTTGTGTCGCATACGCTTATCGATTTACATGTACGCTCGTAGACCTAACCAAACGTGTCTTTATCAAAACAAATCCGTCCAATTTAATATTCGATTAACAATTGCGTCATTTGGGGGAATAATTATATTTAAGCTTATGGGATAGAGTAAAATGTAAAGGAAACGAATAAAATCGGAATAAATCAGATATCGTATCATTGTATACATGTACGAATCGTTTATCACACGCATTAGAGTAATATTAACTTAATTTATACATAAGTTTCTTTTATCAATATTATTCCTGTAACTTATCAATATCATTTTTCTTATCTGTATTTATGTTTCGATGAAAATGCTTTACTTTGTAAATTAGACGCACAATGATTAATGTGATTTCTGTATTAATTAAAGAGCAATACTTAACAATAACGTGATTATTGATCAAATTCGTGTCTTTCCTCACTGTACAATGTTTTCGTTATGAAGTCAGAACTTTATCGAAGCGGTGATCTAATTTTACAACGTTCATTGCGATGGAATAAAAAGTTGAATGACACGAGAGGTTTTAATGATCACTCGTAGGTTCGATCGATGTTCTAAAAAGAGGGAAAACACGAACTTCCATAGAAACCAGTGAATTATGAAAGAACAAGGTAAACTGATTCAGGTTACCAAACGAATATCTTCTTCGTATCTTTCTTAACATCCGTTACTCGGCGAAAACGAAGATCAAACGTTTCCTAACCTACAGGTACAAATAGTTTATTGCACAGTTTAAATCCGTTTAAATCGACAGTGGTTGATCAGCGAGGATTCAACGACAACGTGAAATTGATCGTCAGACCGCTTAGGATATTCCAATTCGTAAGTAGAAATAATAACAACGAACATCTCGTTGATTTTCTGACGAGTGTTATCAAGTAATTAATTTCCAACGAGACTGCAATCTAACGATCCATTATTTGCAATCAATCAGCTAGTGGTATTACTGATTTTCGTGTTCGTAATTTACGCGATTGCGACTGGTAACACGGAAGTGTCGGCTGTCACGTGTATTTTGCTTATTGTCCTTTCCGGTGTCTACGTTTTCGTTCTGGCGGTGGAGTTGATCAGCCATTTTGGCGGCGGAGAATTGCACGCAATTCCGGTAATAATCTATTTCAAGAACCTTCATCTTTCCTCTAAACTAGCAAGAATGTTTTAATCCTCTGTAGGCTCATGTAACTTTGAAGTCACATATCAGTATATTGGCATCTTGTTGATATACTTCATTCTTAACTTAAACTTTTATACACTCAGACGTGAAAGTTTAACGTCATTATAACTTGAAAGTTACAAAACATATTCATTTGATGAAATTATTGAAACTATTGAATGCACTGTTAATTCGTGTTCATACGTGGATATTTATTAATTTTACACTGCATAGATTTTGTTATAATCATGAACAAAAATTCGGCCCATAGAGGGTTAAATTGAAATTATTTGAATGTCCTACTGAAATCACTGAATTGTCATGTAGCTCACAGAAACGATGAAATTTTCGAATGAATTTTAAGATACTATTACTTCGACAGATATTTGTCCTTTCTATACTGGGTGTCGTATTTTTCGGAGTCGCCGGAATCCTTCTGATACCGGTTTACATCGCCATCGGACTGTGGTACATCGTAACGACGCTGTGCCTCTGCCTGCTGGCGTTTACATTGTTTCTAATCGACGTTATAGTTATACTCGCGTAAGTATCGCGTTTTCAACGAGTTACTTGGAAAATTAGCCATGAATTCCCCATAGGTTCTGGAAGCAAGCGTGCCGTTGCGAGCAGTGCATTTATCCTGGTCACGCTGATGTACAAATTAATGAACAGAACTTTTGCCATCCCCTCTGTGATGTGAGTTTAATTGTTTTTCTTCTGTACACAGCGTAAAATATAATATTGAGGTAGAATAATGGTTGCGAAGAAACCTAAAATTATTAGAATTATATTTTCATTTGATATTCATAAGAGCAATTTCTTGATATGTTCCTGGCGTATCAATGACTCCTTAACCTCTTGTACTATTACTTTCGCTACTAAGCTCGTGTAACATTTTATTATCAACAATTTGGAAGAAACGCACCAAAATTTTTCGTTCTAAACAAAGTGAAGATTTCATTTGAAGATAATAAATTGATAATAGCAAAATAGTTGTTAGTTTTGATGCGTAAATAATGAACAACATTGATTGTTGTTAAATTGGTCTAGAAATCTTCATCGCGAGTCTCACTTGTCATTGTACGGCAAGGGGTTAAGAGTCTCTTTGTAATTTAGACGATGAAATACGACTTGATGACCAGCGTCAGCAGCATCAAGGTTCCGTCAGGAGAAGAGGATGGAATTCCCGTACACTGTTACCGGAAAATAGGACACGCTCGTAGACGACAATACGTCGATCGTCCGACGAGCGCGAAATCTAGGTCCGTCATGGATATTGCTAAGTGTCAAACGGAGTCTCCTCTGATGACGAATATTCAAAGTCAAGTGAGCATTGCTACTTTGATAATTTGTTTGAAAATAATTTAATATTGATATAAAATTGAAATCTGTAGACGCAGTACTGTGTAACGGAAACGCCGACCCAAACAGTGAGCAAATGCGAATTGTGCCACCGACAAATGGAAATATTTTCAACCTCCGCGGATATGCAACCAATTTGTCAGCAGCAACCGCCGTGCGCACCTTGCCCTGCGCTTGTGCAGCTTATAAGAGGGACGCCGTGTTGTCCAGGGTTCGTGTTATTCGAAAAGTATCCTCAACCCTTTGCACTCCAGAAGTTTTTCACCGGAAATATTCAATATTTTCTAATGAGATACAGACGACATTTTCTTAGATTGAACTGAGAAATCTCACATGCATTGAGGAAGAGAACTATCTTCTTTCAATATTTCGTACATTGATGCATTATACAAAGTTTCTTATTAAATATCAAAGTTTACAGTTCTACCGTGTCAAATCATTTGGTGACTTAGAGGCGCCTCTGGAGTGCAAAGGGTTAATTGTCTATTTCAACGTTCATTTCAATTATGCGTTACATCCGAAACAGATGCAGATGCGTAGCAGGTATAGTGCAAGTGCCACAGCAAAGCCACCAGCAACAAACGCTGCGACAGGATCAAGAGCAGCTGACAACCACGAATGACGCGCAATGGCCACAACAGGAGCAAAGAGCTCACGGGATGTTGACGAGTGAGAAAACTCGAATCGATCAGGTTGCGAGTACAAGCGTTAACACGGCAAAGAATTCCCTTCCGTTCGATATTGATCTAGGCGTTCAGCCGTCATTATAAAACACCGAATGAAATGTGACAAATATATAAAGGTCGAAAACGAATATACTTCCGAATGTTTTATAGAGTTAAACCGATCAAGGAGCAATTATTTCTCGGACAATCATTATCGAGGGAATCTGAAATAATTGTTTCTTTTACAGCTTATCGTATATTTAAATCGTTTTATCTTTTTCTAATTTCATATTATAAGAGAATAGGCTGGAAGATCTTCAAATATTGTTTCTTTTCGTTTCTACTTATTTCGTGTTCCATCTTACAAGATCTCACACGATGTTCGCCATTTCGAAGGTGAGCGCGAGGATACGAAAATGATGGGTGTGTCGGGGACTATCACTAAACTGACTGTCGCGTCGTACTGCGTGACGCCGAGCAGAAGGTCTGACATGTCCTGTCAAACCGTGGACGAGGAGACTAGAAGCACGTAAGATTGTATCAGACAATTGTGAAATTTTTCTAACAAACCGTGCACTTACAGTATGAATGTTTAACCCTTTCGCGACGGCGTACCTATAGCATACTTCGCCACTTTTCGCGACTGCGCGGCTGACCATACTTTGTCGCCCACTGTTCGCTAAATTATGTATGTCATTTTCTGTGTTGCCTAATGCCAGTACTAGCTTTATTTTGAGTTCGCTATTGAAATAAAACAATAATATAATTATGATTCACCAACAAGTGACTGCCGTATATACACGGCACCCGTCGCGAAAGGGTTAATCAACGAAACAACATTGTTTCCTTTTATAATAACGGATTCCTTACATGTAAATACAAACCTCTTCCACTACAGTACAAGCAGAAGAGCATCCGACGACGCAGATCAAAGGAAAGAGAAGCCAAGACTGAGTGCAACGCAAAAAGAACAAACTCGCGAGTTGTCGATCATGAAGCCGGAAGTGTTCATACTAGAAGGCGAGAAGGAGAAAGTGAGAATCTCAGTGGGAATCGAGAAGGAAACGATTAAACATCCGTCAAGATCAGGCTCGAAGTCCTCAACGACGAGATCAGTGAAATTAGTCGCGCGACCGAGTTCGATCGAAGCGAAATCTGAGAACCGATCCTTGGACAGGTCGGTTGTCGAAGATCAATCCGAGACCGTGATGAAATCGGGAGATCCCGCGTTAGTATCGCCGCCGTTGAAAGTAGCTCAGATGATAGATCTGTTGCAAGAAATAGAGGGAGCTAAAGGTTCCGCGGACGCGACTGAATTTTCGGTATCCAAGGACAAAGATAGAAAGGACGAGGACGCGACGAGGGAAACGGAAAGATTGGAAGTTGAGAGAATGGTCGATGAAGTGTTACGAGAAGAAATGGTGGAGAAAGTAATAAGAGAAGTCGAAGAGGAGGTGCAAGGGAAGGATGAAGAGACTGAAGAGTTCAAGTCTGTTTTGAAAGAAGATGCAGGTGTCGGTGAACCTGTCGCAGGAAAAGAGTCCAGTGGGAAATTGGCAGCGGAAAGAGTTCAGGGGAAAAGTATCGATAGCGATGTCACTGCGAGCAGCGCGGACGAAAGTGTGTGTTCCGAGTCGAGGACGAAAAAGTCATCGTCGAGGAAATCGAGCAGGAACAGGGAGGTATCGGTGGAAACGTTGTCCTCGCCTAAGCTTGAAGCGGAAACGCAAGCGTAAGATCGATGTTTGATTGTCTAGTTGAAATAACCCTTTGCACTCGGAAGTTTTTCATTAGAAATATTTTAACATTTTCTGGTGAGATAAAACGATATTTTGTGAAACTAAGTTGAAGAGAATTCACGTACATTGAGGAACAGAGCTATTTTATTTCAATATTTCTCAAACTGATGCATTATACGAAGTATAATATTAAATATCAAATTTTATAGTTTTACTGTATGAAATCAAATGGTAAGTGAGAGTCAAAGGGTTAACACATTGTTGACCTGTGATTTTACGGAGTAGCTATGTCACCGGTTATTATTCCGTAATTAAATGGGAAAGTGAAACAATCTAAATGAACTTCGATATACTTTATTTATACATAAATTGAACTGAAACTTTGAACATATCTTTTATGTAACTTCGAATATTTTTACAATATTCTATATTGCCCTGCGTTTCGAAAATTTAAATAGCTAATGCGAACACGAGTTAACCCTTGACCGATCAACAATGTTAAGAATATTGTATTTATATTTCTGGAATTAGCAATTTTTTCTCACTATATTCTTGTGGTTTTACAAGTGAATTTTGCGCTGCGCGTAAACCCGACACAAACCTGTGTACTCTATCTGACTCGGCCTCAATGCGCAGCTGATAATTAACCGGAAATTGCTTTGTGAATCGATTAGTCTATCAGTCGGGTTCGAACTCGTTTCTGTCGTTATGTAATCTCATAAATGCAATGGACAGCGTGCGCTTGCTCCGATGTCGCGTCGAGTTTAATATTAGAAGTCGATGATGGGTGATCATTGAACGATCCACGGAAGCTGGATACAGTAAAATAGAAGCATTCAAGAAACTCGGCGAATCTATTTAAATGATCTAATGATTTGCTATTTTAGAACTGACACAGACCGGTCATCCAGCAAATCGAAAAAGATTTCGTTCCCGAAGAAAAGGAACAAAATCGAGCCGTACGAACAAGTGTAAGGAAAAAGAGACGATTGATTGATTAATTGATTAATTCTAATTGTTTCTTTCAAGCTAGAATTAACAATTGAAATATGAACCGTTTAGGCACTCCGACATACAGTCTCAAACCTGGTGCCCTGAACCTCCCTGCGAGACCGGCGTAATGGCTACCAGTAGATTAGACAACGAGGTAATTGCACAGGAAGCTTCGTAATTTGAACAACTTCGAAGAAACTCTTCTAGAAAAGTGTTTCAAAGAGAAACTTCTAAAAATGACTCGAAACTTATTAACATTGCAGAAATTTATAACAGACAAGCATGGTGTTTTGGCAGAAGTTCCTATTTGCCCTTCTTGTAGAAGAATACAGGTGAATAATATTTATTCTATGTAATCATCGATAATTGCAGTAATTAATTAAAGGAGGGAATAATTTGTTGCATTCTGTGACAGCATTTTTCAGTGTCACCGTCTACCCAGTATTACAGCGTTTACAGGGACAAGCGAGGCAGGCTGTACTGCAAGTATTGTTCGCCATTAGGTTCAATTAAAGTACGATAAATTGATTACACTTAATTTATCATATACAAGTAACTAACAAGTAATTCTATCTCATTTGTTTCAGGTGCTGTACAAACATGACGCGTGTGAACAGAGATCTTTGAAATGCTCGCGTTGTAGAAATCTGTTGAATCAGAAGGCTAGTCGAAGCGAAGGAACTGTAAAAAGATTTTCTTCCCTCGTTTCAATTATCGTAATACGTTTAAATGATATTCTAATTCGAATCTGATTTTCAGTCCTCTCGAATCAGGACCGACACCTGTCCGAAATGTGCTCAAACGCAATTCCGTTCGTATTTAGCCACGAAAAAGTAATTATTCGTAGGAAATGAGACTTCAGTGAGCAGAAAAGATGGAACGACGTGTGATTCACGATATGGTGCCTGTAAGAAATGGAAGATAAATTAGGTTAAGCGTCGAATCATCGAAATTTAAATAGGTCTGTAAAAAATAATTAAGAGTTATCGATTAAGAGAAATTCCTCATGTGTATATAACGATTTGAGAGTAATTAATAGTATGTACATTTTGAGAAATATAATTGTATTTTATTATAAAAATATTTTCATCTCACAGATGACCAACGACACTGCTACAGTACTGTTTAATTATTCTACTAATTATGATACGGTTAATTAACAATGCTGTTTTGTTGATTACGCTAGGCCGCATTTATTTGAAGGAAATTAACACAAATTGTACACTGTTCAGGTAAGACACAACCAACATTCGCATTAGATCACTGTATACAAGTGAAGCAATTTTTCCAACGATGTTTAAAAATCGACAACACCGTGAAAAATACTGTAAAACGATATATTGTTATTTACATCGTTGTTCCTCGACAATTTTCATATCCTTGAGCTTACACGTCTCGTTTTCCCTCGCGTGACGCTATAAACCATTTGATCAGAAGGAAGATCACTTAAATAAACACCGTATTAAAAAAAAAAAC